CGGGGCGCCTTATAAACGAGCGAGAATACGGTATTATTTCTCATGACTGCTTAAGACTTCCCCCCATGAATCGCGTCGGCTATGTCGTACGACGCTGTCGGAGTTGGCCTATAAAACAAAATAATATTACAAAGTCAATCTATAAATACAAGCGTAGGCCTACGTGTCTTCAGCTGTCGGATTGTCTGTTTATTTAATGTATACATTTTGTTAAGAGGGTACTCAGAGACAGTCAAATCCCAACTCTGTTGATTCTCTGCGATCATAGTAAACGTTTGCTTATTTTGTTAATTGTTATTTTCGTCAATTTATGGTCAATAAATAATATGCTCTAGGTTACACCTTTCAGGAGCGGATCCACATCTCACCATTGTTGGGACTAGGTTCGCAATAAGGCCCCTCTAAACGCTCAAAAATGGCACTGATGGAAAAAATGCTTTTTAAAGCAGTGTTCCTCGACAGAATTATTGACTTTTCACCACGGGAGCTATACTACCCCTACCTTAGACACCCCTCCTCCCACGGGCGTCACAATTATAATCAAAGACCTATTGTCTATTCTATACTAGGAGAGTCGCAAAGCAAATTATGGCACTTCTAGATGCCCGGAAATGACACTTATTCAGCGTTGTGTTCGTCGTCGATACAATAGAAAATTCCAAATTAGTGTTAAAATAATCGAGCTCTACTTTCCCCCACTGGTGGATCCGCCACTGAACCCATGGGTACACTTCCGTTTTTTCCCCTTTCCTCCCTTCAGCTCTTCTCAATTTTTCCCTCTTTTTTGTTAATTTTTCGGCGGGACTGACAGGGGGAACAGGCCCCCGTGGCTTCCCGCTGGATCCGCCGCTAGCCTTTATTACATAAGAAAGGTAACACGTCATACATTACAGAAAAAAAAGCATGTACTGTAGGATATTAGCCATATCTAGTTTCTAAAACCCTGTCCAGACTATCAAATTTGATTTGACAAAACTGTCATGATGTGCCTATATATGGCCATGATGTGATGTCATCATGATAAGACTTAGGCATGTCACATGCTTTTGTAAAATCTGATAGTCAGGACAGGGTTTGACTCATCAGGAAGGATGAAAACGTTTCGAAATCTAACGGACCGCCGATCGTCTGAGAAATGAATGTAGGACTTATGCCACCCCTGTCCAAGGCCACCCGTCTAAAGCCACCCAGCAATGGACAATACCATTGTAAAGTGGGGGTGCACAGTGTGCTGTTTGTCTTGATATTGCTCTATAACAGGTTTAGGCTGCAATGAGTTGTTTGTATCAGACCTACTAATTCATTCTTTCGTGTATTATAAATAGAAACTGGGAGTAGCCTAAATTAGACATAAACATTCAGTACTCGAAATGAAATTAACACAAGTGGTAAATGATGAAGTTCCCTTAATTATGCAGTCGAGTCGTTAATAGAAATGTATTTTTTCAGTCAAAATGTATTATTTATCTAGTATCATGTGTTAAATATTATCGTTATTTTCCCTTTTTTCTTATAACTAAATAATATCACAATACCGGTACCATGTGTGATTTATGAATTTGAATAATAAAATTGGGAGTAGCCTTGATGGTTTCTAGAAATGTTTTTTTTTTTCAGTCAATTAAAAGTGAAGTAATTTTCACTGCTCTCTGATTCAATTACAGTTTTATTTCTCATTTTTTTAATGCAAACAACACAAAGAATAAAATATCACAAAATTTTAAAGGAATTACAACATTTTATCAAAAGAAATTGAATTAATTAAAAGTTTGTTATTGACCAAAAATAGTCATTGCAACAAGATAGTATAATACATACTCCAAGTATCGAATGCACGCCATCGTGTCGGGATTCAATATTTCGACATTAATTACAGTATATCATCATAATTCCTGATGATGACATAATTAATGTCGAAATATTGAATCCCGCCACCTAATGTTGAAATATGTATTATACTATCTTATATGAGATTATTCAGTGGACCTTTCGGTATTACAAATTATCACAAAATGATAACCATCAATAGTAATGAAAGTATGTTAAATAAATAAATCTTAATCAAATGTCACATAATTATTATATAGGCTCTTATATATGTTGCCTACAGTAATTGTCAAGAATTGATGTAGTAATGAATAGTAAATATTTAATTGTAAATCCTTGTCTTATCAATAAACGGAAATCAGACAAAAACCTCCAGGACAATACACAACCCGGACATAAACCACCCAAAATGGACTATACCATGGGGAGGTCTGTGTGGTGGACAATGTTGGGTGGGCTTGTTTCTATCTAGCTTTACAATAGGATATTGATTTCCTATTATACGCCCTTAATTCATTAATTCTTTTGACAACATGCAGGAAGGGTAATAAGCATTTTAGATTTCAGCAACCACTGTGCTTAAAGTTTGTCGTTAATATTTCAATAATGTATACACAATACTTAACTTCCAAACTTTATGGAAATTCAAATGTAAAATTTGTATTAAAGTGTTAATACATTTAAATGAATATGACTGTTTTCATTCAAATTATTATTCAAGTACCGTAATTTTTAAAAGAAGTAGGGACTAGTCCTTTTATAAAATGACTGGAAAAAAACTTTTATTTCTAGAAACCACTCGATTGCATAATTAAGTGCACCTATGATCCTTCACCCCTTGTGTTGTTTTACATTTGAAGTACTGAATGTTTATGCTTAGGCTAGGCTACTCCCAGTTTCTAATTCATAATACACAAAATAATAAAATAGTAGGTCTAAACATTACAGAGCAACACCAAGACAAACAAATCATTGTGCACCCCCACCTTACAATGGTAATGTCCATTGTTGGGTGGCTTTAGACAGGGGTGGCTTAGGACCGATGCTCCGATCAAGGACCAAGATCACAATTAATATTATACTATATAATCCTAACTAATACCAATTATAACAAATAAAATAGGTCTAAAACATGTTCAAGAATAAGGGCACTTGAAAAATGGAGACGATAATATTTAGTTTTAAAACGTTTTTTTAAGAGTGGCACACATCAAATCGATGGCGCATCCATACATACTAAATATATTATATATTAGAAAATATATTTCTCCCTGGGGCGGATTGCTATAAGCGGATTAACGGTTAGCCGGCTATAATCGTGACGTCACTACTGGTCATGTTTATAGACCATTGCTATACCGCGGCCTAACTACTCGGAGGAGGCTTGAAAAGGTCTTTAAAAAATCATTTTCATCATGGCATTCTGCTGAATTATTCAACAGTGCAATGGCAAGACCTGGGCCTAGATCGTCAAAGTCGGAAAATCGAACGACGAATACTCCGCACACTTCTCAGCGTCTATAAAAATAGGTCTACGGCGTTTGTTTACGTTCATTTCAATACATTTGCGTGCGTCGCCCGCACATGACGTCGCCCGCAATATTACGTTACCAGGGAGTGCTTGTTTGCGTTTCAACACTCAAAGCGGTCTTAGGGAAGATTGTTTTATGCAATGGTCTTAGAGGATAAGACCGTCTAAGTGATAAAGCCGGCTTTATTCGAAGAGTTATAGACTCCAGTTAAGACCGTTTCATGGAAAATCCGCCCCGTTCAAAATTATAACACAATCTGTAAATAAAACAAAGTAGCCATTCCATGGACATGACTATAAACTTAAAGGAAATACAGTATAAAGGAAAAATTGAAAAGGCAATTAACAACAGGAAATAGGCCAACTCACCACACCTTAACAGTTTATCTACATAACTAAACCACATAAATCATGAGCTATACGCCTTAAAACTAAAAGAAAATGCATACCTTTGGAGTCCGTACTGAGCCCAAAATATCCGCAATGAAAATATAACGTGTTCTTACTAATATTATAAAAAAAAATAGTAGTTGTAGTAATAATAATAATAATAATAATAATAATAATAATAATAATAATAATGTTAATGATGATGTTAATGATGATGATGACAATAATAATAATAATAATAATAATAATCTAATTAATGACATTAATTAATTAGTTACATCAGTCTAGAGTGTTAGACTTAATTCTTAACCTTCGTATGATGTGTTTGATGTTATAGGCTAGTCTGCTTAATTTTTTAGATTTTCTCCCAGCACTGCACCCATCAAAGCATGTATACGTACAAGTACAAAACACACGTAGATTAAAGCGTAGACTAATAAACACAATATTGAAAATACAAATACCATGCACTCTTATTCCTAACATCCAATGGTTGGGAAGCGCGTAGACATACATTATTTTCAAGTCAATTAAATTCAATTTACGTGCGCAATCTTAGCCGTCTGTAGGCCTACATGCAACTCTCGCATGTTATGTCACCGCTACTGTGCCGCGTGTAAAGTAATTTGAAGTTGTTATACTTATGATGGGGGTCTGTCTAGGCCTACATGTATTATACATTTATATAGATTTATTATCGCGTTATTCCAAGGAATTCTGGGATTTAAAAAACCATTTAACCCCGTTTTCATCGAGATTAGATTTATCGGTTTATTTTAACTGAACAAGATAAACACCCAAGGTTCATTGGTTGGATTAATATTTTAATTCTTCGAATTGGTTTGTTCATTTGATAATGGAGTAAAGAAATAAAAGAATTTTCGTCACGCAACATGTACGTCACAAACAGGATATAGAGAATCATTGTGTTGGGCTAAATAGCCATACAAGTTTCAAAATATCCTAGTGTATATTTTCAATCCTTTCAAGTTTCAACCAATATATACAGCAACACGCACTTCGTCGCAAAGGAGTGGGTGTTAAAGAGACTGTCCCCCTCACACTTTCAAGCAGGAAAGCGGATTAAAGTTTCTTTCTATATCCATTAAGAATAAAATCCGTTCAATGGAGAAAACAAGAAAATATATTTAATTTAAGTGCCATTTCCGGCAATCTAGAGGTGCGGAATAATAATTTCTTATCCTCAGGAACACTTATATCCTTAAAAAAATTTTCCTTTAAATTGATTCCTTCGGTCTCTATTTTTCATAGGGTCCTCATAACCGGAATATAACTGCATAAAAGGTATTCTTTTACATTGTATTTTATATAATATAATTAGTACCGGTATTAGTATTAGTATTGTAACAACAATGGTGATGATGGCGGTGGTGATGATGATGATGATGGTGATGGAGATGGTGATAATGATGATGATGATGATGATGACTGTCTCTTATACACATCTAGATGTGTATAAGAGACAGATTAAGTGCACCTATGATCCTTCACCCCTTGTGTTGTTTTACATTTGAAGTACTGAATGTTTATGCTTAAGCTAGGCTACTCCCAGTTTCTAATTCATAATACACAAAATAATAAAATAATAGGTCTAAACATTACAGAGCAACACCAAGACAAACAAATCATTGTGCACCCCCAGGTGATGATGATAATGATGCTGATGATGATGATGATGATGATGATGATGATGATGATGATGACGACGACAATGATGATGATGGTGATGATGATAATGATGATGATGATGGTGATGATGATGATGATGATGATGATGCTTCTTCTTTAATGATAATGATGACGATGATCGTGACGCACGATGATGATGACGATGACGTTGATGATGGTGAGGATGATAGTGGTGATGGTGGTGGTTATGACGACGCATGGTGATTATGATAATTCATCCTTTAAGTATATTAAGTATTGAAAAAGAATGTACTTCAATTGATTTTATTGTTTGTTTTACTAAATATGCAGTAAATAGTAAAAATAACTATAACCAGTAATAAAGATGAACAAATAAAGAAAATTTTTGTTATGATTTAACCGAACCACCTGCTAGCATGTCTCACCCACCTCATCTCACAGAAGTACGGTGGCCGAGTGGTTAAGGCGTTGGACTTAAGTTCCAATGGACGTATGTCCGCATGGGTTCGAACCCCATCCGTACTAAACATGTTTTTTTTTAATTTAATTTATTTTTATTCATTTTTATTTATTTTATTTACCCCCAACAGCGAGAACACCAATAACAGGGAGCATAGAGTAATACAATATTCACTATAAAATAGATTTAAAAATCACAATAAAACATTCAAGCTCCTGATTCGTAGCACTCTCCACTCACCCTTACTTTTCAATAGAGAAAAAAAGAAAATATATTAAAATTTAAGTCTCAGAGTGCCATTTCCGGCCATCTAGAGGTGCGGCTTAATCATTTCTTATCCTCAGGAACACTTATTTTCTTCAAACAATTTTCCTTTAAATTAATTCCTTCGGCCTCTATTTTTCATAGGGTCCTCATAACCGGAATACAACTGCATAATAGGTATTCTTATACCTTGTATTTTATATAATATAATGTCTTGTAACAACAATGATGATGATGGTGATGGTGATAATGATGGTGATGATGATGATGATGATGATGATGATGATGATGATGATGATGATGATGACGCATGGTGATGACGCATGGTGATTATGATAATAATTTTAATGATGATGATAATTTTGTTCATCCTTTTTAATTAGTATATTAAGTACCGTGTTAAAAAAAAGAACGTACTTCAATTGATTTCATTGTTTGTTTTACTAAATATGCAGTAAATAGTAAAAATAACTATAACCAGTAATAAAGATGAACAAATAAAGATACACGTCGAGGTACCTGCGTGTACACGGTAGTGATGGCGACGCTATCTCAAAATCGGGGGTGCGCACTCCTCCCTCCTCCCCTTCGTGTTCTTTTGTCTTTGTTTCTTGTGGCTTCAAGCGCCTTGAGACGGTTTTCTGTGGAAGGCGCTATACAAATATACGGCCATCGACCATCAATTTTTGTTATGATTTAACCGAACCACCTGCTAGCATGTGTCACCCATCTCATCTCACAGAAGTACGGTGGCCGAGTGGTTAAGGCGTTGGACTTAAGTTCCAATGGACGTATGTCCCGCATGGGTTCGAACCCCATCCGTACTAAACGTCTCTTTTTAAATTAATTTATATTCATTTATTTCATTTCACCCGCAACAGCGAGTACAACAATAACAGGGAGCATAGAGTAAATACAATATATAATCACTAAAAAATAGATAAAAAAAAAAATTCACAATATAAAACATTCAAGCTCCTGCTTCGTAGCAGGAGTGTGTGGCTAAAAAAAAAAATAGGATTTCTGGATCCGTAATAGAAGTGATCGAATACAATTTTGAACTCGATAATTTAATTAATTTACTGAAGATGTCAAATTATCTAATTTTAATTTACCGTTCTTCTTGGATATTTTTAAAATTTTATCATGGACCTAGAACAATACAAAATTATACTGTATTCCTTTCATGTCAACTACTTCCGACTTTCCGACAAATTAAAATTCGCCCTTCAATTTCAGACCCCTTCTAATTTGAGACCAATTTTTCAAAGAACCACCTAATAATCTTCAAAATTTTAACACAAAGCAAACACTCTAATTGAAGTTCGCCCGAGACCACCAATAATTTCAGGTCCTAATTGTGGTCTCGATTTGGTGGACACTGACTTTATCAACTAACTTTTTAAGAATTGAAAAACGGTACAATAAACGCAAGCACGATAAATAGAAATTGTGAATACTAAAATTACAGTAGTATAAGAAAAGAATTAGGTGTTTTGCTTGTGATAGAAAGGCTAACAGTAGCACATCTCTGACACAATTAATCACGTTTATCACAAAAGTATTTCAGCAACTCTATAAATATTAGATTAATGTGATTTCATTTACCTGTAGGTATGTAAAGTTAAAGAAATTGATATTGTTATGTCCTAGAGTGGTCACATGTTCGTGTACTTGGAATACTAGCGCCGGTTGAAGTTAAGGTCGCTAGCTCTCTTTGCCATTTCTGATTGGATGTTTTCTCCTAATCCAATCCATTATACGATAACATCCAATCAGATTTAGGATTTACTTTAGTTTAAGTTTATTTTTCTTATATTTGGCACCGTTGGGTATTGTCAAACGTGTGTCACTGTTACGAAAGTGATATCCATTAGATTGAAATTGAGGAATTCGTTTAAGACTGGTTGACAATATCCACGGCCTAGAAACCTTATGACCCAGATATAATGAAAAAAATATAATGAAAAAAAAAACGTAAAATAAGTTTTATATTATCTGTTTACAGTATTAACTTAATAAAATAGTTCCTTGGTTGGGTTAATATCTATTTGTAAATTTCGTCGAATTGGTTAGTTTTGATTGAATTCTTCGTCACGCAACGTGTACGTCATTGGTGCTAACACCCATAAAAGTCCAAAATATCCTGTTGTGATTTTAATCCATTCAATAAATACAATATAGAGCAAACCATTAAGACACTTAGCAATGGGGAGAGTATTAAAGAAACTGCCCCCCCCCCCACCCCTTTTCAGGCAGGGTTATTTCTGTATCCATTAAGGATGAAAAATGATACATATTTTTATGATCTAAGATCTGAAATGAACCGAATTCGAACCGCGTTTCCGATGCGTTGAACGCCAGCGTCCCTATTGTTAAGGTGCATTCACACCGAATCTGATTTTTCGTTTCGGAAACCTCAACGAAACGATCGGAATATCGGATTAGTGTATAAGAATAGGGACGCTGGCGTTCAGCGCATCATGGAAACGCGATCCGAATGTTGGTTCGGATTTGGTGAGATTGCAGCTTTATCAAGATGTGTTCTATGACAACAGCTCGATACGTAATTTTAAGAATCACCACTGAATACACAAACAAATATATCCCTGACCTCTCTTATAATGGAAGTCTCTCAATACAAAATAATAAGCTTTTCTCAGTATCGGTGAATGGTTGTACAATCCGAATGATGGACTTCCGATCGAGATTCTGTGAGTTAGTTCGATTGATATGTTCTTATAAAATGCAGTGTCACTCCTCTATGTCTATCAGTGGCGGATTCAAGGGTGTGGGGAAGCTGGTCCGCCCCTGCCACCCTTCCCCCACCCCTCACCTAATTGTTTTCAAAAATTATTGTTTTTAAATGGAGAAAACGAGAAAAAAAATAAGTCTGAGAGTGCCATTTTCGGCAATCTAGAGGTGCGGCATAATCATGTTCCTTATCCTCAGGAACAATTATTTCCTTAAAAAATTGAATCCTTCTGCCTCTATTTTTCATAGGGTCCTTATAACTGGACTATAACTGCATAAAAGATACTCTTGACATGTATTTTATATAATATAATGTCTTGTAACAACAATGATGCTGATGATGATGCAACAACTGATGCTGCTGATGATGATGATGATGGCGCATGGTGAGTATCATGATGGTGGTGATAATAATAATTTTAATGATGATGATTTTTTTTTCATCCTTTAATTAGTATTAAGTATTGAATAAGAGTAATTCAATCAATTTCATTGTTTGCTTTACCAACTATGTAGTGAAGAGTAAAAATAACTATAACCGGTAATAAAGATGAAAAAATACTGCTGATAATTTTTATGATTTAACCGAATCACCTGCTAGAATATCTCACTCATCTCATCTTATAGAAGTACGGTGGCCGAGTGGTTAAGGCGTTGGACTTAAGTTCCAATGGATGCCCGCTGCCTGCTGTGTTCGAACCCCATCCGTACTGACAGGTAACTTTTTTTTTCCATTCATGATGAGGAAGTCCTACGCACCGTCATAGGAGTAAGCAAAACGTATAGAAGCGAGATTTTGTAGATGAATTTAGTTAATTTCAATGAATGTTCCGCAGCTATTTATTCCTCTCATTTTCTTATTTTTTGACAGTGCTTTAACAATTTGTTCAACTTAGTCGACAAGTTCAATCATCTGTTTTATTACCAACAACACAAGGGCCCAACGGTACCCGCCTTGCGCATTTTCTTTTCACTTAGTGCTTTTCTGACTTTAGAGCAGAACATTGTCCCCGCCATCAAATTCGCAGATGATACAGTGATAATAGGTTTAATTAAGAACGGTAATGATAATCACCACCATAGAAACGGAATTAGAAAATTTGTGCAATATTAATTTTTAGAACTTAATGTACTTAAGACAAGCGAGATGATAATCGACTACAGGAGAGTTAAAAATAAACAAAACGATGATATCATTGAAATTATGGATTGTAACATCGAACCGGTCAAAAGTTATAAGTATCTCGGAGTAATATTTAATGATACATTAGGTTGGAGCGACCACATTTATTATATAGTCTGATTAAAAATATTAGGCTTAATTCTAGATTCTATTGCATGAGAAAGATGAATTCATTCCATGTTCGGCAAGACATTTTGTCTATTTTTTTTATAATACGGTCATTTGTGGGGTGGGGAGGAAATGCTACCCAGACTGATAAAGCTAAGATCGATAGGGTGATTAGGAGGGTGACGAGGATGGTTGAGGAGAGCCAGTGGTCGATGGAGTCTGTATACTCGGAACGTGTACCGGTATCGCGTGTATTCAAATGTATTGGGTGGGGGGGGGGGGGGGGGATAGTCATCCAATGCATTGTAATGACAGCGAACAACGTGTCTGTCGTAGTGGATGTTTTAGACCGGCCTCTCGCACAATCACCATGATTCTCTCTCCTTCACCACATGGCATCAAAGAAATTCAAATTCTAAAAGGTGATTTCTTTTTCTTTGTCTGATATCATTGTTTGATTATCTTTTTTTCTTGAATGGAAACTTCTAGGCCTATATATTTTCTTTGTTAAAATTTTATGAATTTTTACATTGCGGGTAATGAATTCCCTTTTTTGGATGTGAATAAATGTTTTGAATCTTGAATCTCGAAAACCTCCAAATAGCACTCAAAAAGGCATTACATGAATGTACACCTATTTAAAAACATATTTGTAATGTAAAACTATTTGGTATCTTTAAATCATACAAGCAAACAGTTTCATTTTACGAAAACACGAGGAGGGTGGCCTGATAAGTTAAACAACAACCTGCGTATAATCAGGTATATAGGAATACTTCTAAAGAGGTCTCAAACAACACGAATAGAACATTATGAGGTAGAACGAAATAAATGATTGAAACAACCAGACGTGGCCTAAAATAACCCGGATCGAACTATGAGGCAGGACGAACGGGTAGTGGTCGAAACAACCGGACACCTACTGCCTATAACTATAGGCTTATATGCCTATATCCACCTGCTTGATTATTTTGACACTACCGGAAGCAGCAGTACGGTGGCCGAGTGGTTAAGGCGTTGGACTTAAGTTCCAATGGACGTATGTCCGCATGGGTTCGAACCCCATCCGTACTAATCGTTAACAACTTTTTTTTTTACCTCCTTCAAGGAGGTTTTATGATTTGATTTGATTTATTCGGCTTTATACACACAATTAAAATACAATGAAAATCATTTCAAAAAAGCGTCCAATATCAAATTACAAACAAAATTGGTCATTTCATATTAAAACAATAATAAAATTCAGTCATGAAATTAGAAACAACAATTGGACAGAGAGACAAAACAACCTCAAGCCAAGGATGACCCATAAAGTCAAGTAATGACTTATTTCCAATGGGTCCTTTTAACACTAAACGGATTACAAGAACAAAAAGGATCTCTATTGTGGAGGAGGAGAATGTTATAACAAGCAGGATTATATTATGTAGTCTCATAATAATTATTATTAATAATTATTATTATTATTAATTATTATTATTATTAATTATTATTTCGTGGTGAGGTCTCACCACGAAATGAGACGCATCGTTGGTGAAATCATATTGAGATATTCACCAAAATAGGTCAAAGGCAACATTTTTACAAAATTTTGATTTTAAAGTTTTTGAATAACTTTATACTTATATTTTATCATTGTGTACTTTTTAAGTGAATTTTCATACTAAAACATATTCTGTAATTCTAGTCCTATTATTTGTACAGGTTAGTTTATCTTTGAGGCCGATTTTCTCAAAACCTGGTTCTCGTACACCTAAACTTTAAATGCTAACATCTCTGGATCTATTTATCCTAGTAAAGCCATTCAAAGACCAAATTAAAGCTTATAATGTGATCTATCAAAATGTAATATTAACTCATTTTCTGATTTTCTAACAATGAGACTCATTTTGTAGTGAGACCTGTAACAGGTGGCAAGGTGATTTTTTAAACTTTACTTTAAATAAATGAAAACTAGATTGCTTTGATGGATGTGGGTAGTTGATTCCAAGCTTTTATAGCTGTGTAATAAAAAGTGCTTTTGACTAAAACATTCGCATTTGGAACGTAGAAATTATAATTTCTGATGCGGGTGTTGTGGCAATGCACATTACAGGTTTTAATAAAATGTTTACATAAGTATGGAACTGATCTATCATAATAAATATTGTGAACATGACAGAGTTAAAGTTGTTAAACTTAAACTTCAATATTATGTGTTCACTGGTGTAGGTCTAACTGGTTGTTGGCAAGATTACTCCAAAACTAAAGAATGGATCATCATAACATTTAGTGTGATGGAACATAATAATCAAAGAAAGACACCTTTCAATTTTTGGAAGAAAATGTCAAAGACAAGGTCACGGATACTTGACTTATTACAATCGTGCATAAAAGAAAAAAATGGAAACGCCCCTCGCATTCAGGCAGCACTCAAGAAAACAATGTGCCTGAATACGGCTGGCGATTTCATTATTTCATCGAGGAGGATGCTGCATTTTCGCCCATTATACACTTTATGGAGTGACTGCTCTAGTTTTAAGTCATCAATTCATGATCCTATTCATCATAAGCCTAAAGGCCAACACAGACAGCGTCGTGCGACGCAGCCCGACGCGATTGTTGTCGCGTCGGGGTCTGTGAGTTAAACGCAGACGCGATGGTGTGCGCCGGGGGCAGTCGCGTCGTAGAATATTAAACATGTTTAATATTTCTCACGACGGCTTAAGACTCCTGTCCCCGACGATAAATCGGGTCGGGCTGCGTCGGCCGACGCTGTCTGAGTTGGCATTAAGAAAATGTATCAAAAGTGAGATATTGTGAATTATTAATTTAGAGCCTTGAACATACAAAACTTTAAATTTTGTAAAAACATTTCTCTCATGTTACCATGGGAACAGTGAAATTATTTTACTGTCCCCTGATGTTACACAAGAAATAATAAATTTCACAACAAAATGTATTTAAAAAAACGAGGTTGTTTGATTAGCCATGTGAAAATGCTTGTAATCATAGCCGTCAATCGGTGGGGGACAGGGGGACACGTCCCCCACTTTTCAAAGTAGGGGGACATCATATCGATTGTTCCCCCACCCCACCTTTCACCAATCTTCCATAATTAAAACCCCACTTTTAAAAGTGAATGGAAAGAATAACAATTACGCATGACTGTCATGAATTTTGTCTGTTCACTTTTCCAAGTGCGGTACGTATTTTCCGGACCAAAACCGAGTAAAAGCGCAATTGTTTTGTAACCATCTCAGAAACCACTAGATTGATTTTATGGGTGCAGCGGTTAACAGAGGCTAAATTTATTGTGAAAACAATGTACTGTACGTTGTTTGGAAGCGTAGGCCAATATTTTTACAAACTCAAAAGTGCACAATTTCTACTATAAACAATTTATTCCTTTCGTATATTATTATGACCCGTACGTATTTACTGTGTTTAATATTATCTACATACATAGAATTATTGTTTTTCCTCATTAAAAAAAATATATAGTTAGTCAATTGAATTTTATATAGCCATTATTAAACAATAATCAGCCTTTGACACTGATTCACGACGAGGAAGCTCTTTCATTTCATCACATACATAAGGAATAGGCCTAGGTATTAAAAAGAAGTGCGATTTTGTAAATTAATTTTTCGTTTTATTAAAACGATCATAAATAAAACAACACTTCAAATGAAGGTAATTGAAGATGTCTAAATTACAACCCGGATCGAACTATAATGAGGTAGGATGATGGGTAAATGATCGAAAATACCGTAGGCCTATAACTAAACCACCTGCAGATTATCTCGACATCCTCTACCAGCAGCAGTACGGTGGCCGAGTGGTTAAGGCGTTGGACTTAAGTTCCAATGGACGTATGTCCGCATGGGTTCGAACCCCATCCGTACTATTTTTTTTTAATGGACAGCGCAACAATTTCGACTTTGCCGCTTTGATGTTAATAACATGCATTACTTTTGCTTTACATCGATCAATGCGGCAATTAAACTTGCTTTTTTTGTGTAAATGCCCTTTAAATTGACTTTTTGCGGCTAATTTCCGATTCAACCAATATATTGGTCTACAGGCTTACTATTGTTTTGCTTTCTAAATTAATGCTTTAAGTTTCAACTGTAATGAGTATGTATTCTGTTATTTAAATCTGTATGTTCTGTAAATAAGATTCAATTTAGGCCTATATACAAAATTTATAATAAAATAATAGTTAAACTTAAACTTAGTACACCATACCATAGGGCTACGTATTTGTAACTTTGTTGTCTTTTATTTCGATGTGAGTTTGCGTCAGGGAAATACCATAGGAGTGATGTTTTGCCCTCGAGTTACTGTACCGAATACGCACATACGTTCCCAAATGCTTGCGAAAAAAAATCGCAACTGATTCAGGTCTTTCGTTCCTTATTACATAATGTATCTATATAGGTACATTTATGTATATCTATGCCGACGACACCCTTATTTACACACAAATTAAAAGCCACCTGATTCTACTATACTTCAAAATGATCTTCAAAAAATGTCGATTGGAATAATCACAACAATATGATTTTAAACCAAGATAATGCAAGGTACAGTAATGTGTATAAGACGCAAAGCCCATACCCCTAAAACATTTGCATCGGGAGCAATGTCCAAATTCAAACATATCTGGAGATGAGAACGACAGTCAAACTTAAACACAGAATTTTCGCCGCCTTCGTATCTGTAGCATTTTCTTATACAACTCAGAGCTAGGACCCTTACAGCATAAAAATAAAAAAAAATAGACGCCTTTCATAGAAGACTCTTTTATACGCATGCTGGGAATCAGGTCCCAAAACAATGAGGAACTCTAAAGTGTATGGCATTACAGGTACCAGTGCTACTCCATGCTCTAAGACCATCGATGGCTTGGTCACATGACGACTATCACCACATACACCAGTTAAACAAGCCGCCGGAGCCGAACGAAAGGTTAAAAAGAAAGTAGGACATCAGAAACTAAACCCCTCTCCCACATACAGTGATTTCATTTCCTAGTTAAAACTCGTGAAACTCGTGACTTAAAAATTAGGAAGGACCTCTATACGATCTTACTACGTGTTAGCTACGAGTAAGGTACGACCTTACGGAGTTGG